CGGGCAGCCGGCGCGCGCTGCGCTCCAGCCCGCCCGCCAGCGCGTTCGCCAAGGAGCTCTTCCTGGGCAGAGTGGAGACGGTAAGGCCGAGCCGGCGGCCCCCGCGGGTTCCCCTGCCGGGAAGGCCCGGGGTCAGGCTCCGTCCCGGTCGCCACGCCAGCTTCGCAAATACACCTGAGGGACTGGGCGTGCCAAAATTCCAGATTCCCGAGTCCCCCTAGGTCGTGTAAGTTTTCCCTGGAAAAAGGAGGAGTCTTTGCAGGGCAGGGCAGGGCAGGGCAGGGCAGCCTTGGCAGCGGCGCCTGGCGTCCGCTGCTGCGCCCGGGCCCTCGCCCTGCCTTTCAGGTTCCTCAGCAGTCAATCTGGAGGGTTCCTTCTCCACCCCTACCACGGGTCGCATTACCGGTAGTGACCCCGCTCTTACCCAATAGTAATAGCTTGATTATTAAGCATTCAACATCCTCTTATAGTAGGAAGACTTGGATTTGACCTTGACTCTGTGACTGAACCTCAGTTCTCCTAGTTTTAAAATGGAGCTAGTGATGTATTCTGCCTCACAGGTGTGTTGTAAAGCCCCAGTGAGATATATAGTGCATGGAAATGCCTTTTAAACTGTAAGTTACTGAGCAGATGCAAAAGGCATCAGAATACGTAGTTAATGCTGGCTTCAACACTTACTAGTCTTGTGACCTTGGGCTAGTCACTTCACCTCCCTGTGTCTCTGTGCTAATCTACAAAATAGGAGTAAAAACAGTACTAGTCCCATCCTAAAGGTGCCCTGCAAACCAGAGAAAAATTCTGTGTACAGTGCTTTGAGCTTGGCAGAACTCTAGACTGATACTGTATCACTTAAGGAGTTACTCCCTGGTTTCTCTTTAGAAATTCCTCTAAGGTTTTCAGGCATTACAGATGCAGAAACAGACTCAGACTAAGAGTGGTTGCCCTGCCAGGAAGTGCAGAGGTAGATCTTTTAAAGTTTAGGAAACTCTTTTCCCCGGCAACTGGAGGCTCTGTGGTGTTCTATCCACGGTGTATGATCTTTTCAATATATTGCTGGATCTGGTTTGCTAATATTTTGTTGAGGATTTTTGCATTTATGTTCACCAGGGATATTGGCCTATAATTTTCTTTCTTTGTAATGTCTGTATCTGGTTTTAGAATTCGTATAACACTTGCCTTGTAAAATGAGCTTGAGAGTTTTCCCTCCTCTTGAATTTTTTGGAATAGCTTGAGAAAGATAGGTGTTAGTTCTTCTTTGAATGTTGTTAAAATTCTCCTGTGAAACTATTCATCCAGGATTTTTATTTGTTGGGAGTTTTTTTCTATTACTGCTGCAATTTCAGTAATTGTAATCTATCTATTCAGATTCTCTGATTCTTCCTGATTCAGTTCTGCAAGATTTTTTTATGTTTCTGGGAATTTATCCATTTCTTCCAGATTGTCCAATTTGTTGGCATATAGTTGTTCATAATATTTCCTTACAATCTCCTGTATTCTTTTGGTGTCAGTTGTTATTTCACCTCTTTCATTTCTGATTTTGTTTATTTGGGTCCTCTCTTTTTTTTTTTTTTTTTTTTTGATGAGTCTGGTTAAAGGTTTGTCAATCTT